GGTTGGCCTAGAGGTCACCTGGAGAGAGCCCGGGACGGAGTCCCCAGGTACCTCCCCGCAGAGAGGACATACTTGTGCAGGGCCTGTTGGAGAGGCCAGGCAGTAGGAGGACCCCGTCATCTCAGCTCCAAGAAAGCACCACTTTGGGCAACACAGTGCCTCTGGGGGCCCTTGAGATGGAGGGATGGATGGATGGACGGATGGACGGACAGATGGATGGATGAGGGAAGGAACAGGCTAAGGGCTGTGATGGAGTCAGGCCTCGGAAGCACTTTGGAGGGTGGAGTCCCCAGAGAAGGGAATGATCAGGCAGCAACCCCCCCCCCCCCCCCCCCCCCCCCCCCAAACCGAGGACAAGTGGGAGGTTTTTCTGGGGCCTCCACTGGGTAAATATAGCCTCTGAACTGGGTGGGGGTGGGGTGGGGGGCCGGAGGTGGCTTCCTCGGTTTGTTTGGGGCACTTCCTTATAAGGCTGTGCCGGCTGAGGCGCCAGAGGGTGAGGTCAGGGGCTGAGCTCTCCATTCAGCCAGGCTGATGCTGTCCCTGTCGCTGCCACGGGCCCCACTGCCCGCCACCCGCCGGGGTCTCAGAGGAAATCAAAGGCCTGGGCTCTGGGCTCCGGCCCAGGGAGCTCAGACGGGGCCTCTCAAAGGGCCCCGCGGCCTTCCTGCCTGCTGTGCGAGCCCAGTGCAGGGATGCGGAGGGTGGCCGTCCAGGGTCCCCTGAGAAGGTGGTCCTGGGTTTCCCCTCAGTGCAGCACTTGCTGTGGCTCCCAGAGTCTCACCCGTATTCCTCCCGCTGCAGGCTGCCCCTCTTCCTCAGGCCTCTTACAATCACTCAGATTCACTCACTGCTTCCAAAGGCCCTGGCCCTGAAGCCCCCCTCAGTCCCCCTCTCAGCCCCTCTTTGGGGACCAGCTGCTGCCACTTGACCCTGTGGTGTCTCAGCTGCCGTCTGCTCTGCTGTCCTTGGCAGCCAGGGAAGGAGGAATGTGGTTTAATTTCAGCTGGAATGTGCCCTCTGGGCCGCCCGCCGGTGGGGGAGGGGACGGGGACCGGGCCCACCCAAGCCCCAGAAACCCAAGAGGATTCTGGACTGGGGGACAGGCTCCTGGGTCCCCACCGGGCCCACCCCCACCCTGCAAGGGAGGCTCCGGACCAGGACGCATCCTACAGCAGGCTGAGTGTTTTTCGAGGCTGGGGCAGGAGATGCTCTTTGTGAACGTGGCGGGTGCTGACACGCAGGACCCAGGTGCCACCCCTGAGTCCGCAGGTGTTCGGGAAAGACAAAGAGGGAGCCTCAGGGGGCCGATGCCGCTGGCTCAGGGACGGAAGAGGGACCGAAGTGAGGGCCTGAGGCCAGGGCCCACGGAGTCTGCGGTGGGAAGCAGGGGGAAACACAGAACTGTTTCCTCTGCACGGGGGGGGGGGGCCCTTTCCCTCCTCTCCCCAACCTAGCACCCCACACCCCGATCAGACTCGTGTCTTCTCCCACATCTCATTTTGGCTCCTGCTCCCCCACGCCTTCCCCAGGCCCCATTATTCCAGGGCCCCCTCTGGTAACCTCACAACAGGGATAGAGCCCAGACCCCAGGGACCCAGGTCCTGGAACCCTCTTGTCCCCTGCAGCCTTCTCTCCCAGTGTCGCAAGCTCTCCTCCTCCAGCGCCATTCACCCTGCCCACCCCCATGACTCAGCTGTGGCTCCAGAAATAAACGGAGGCAGATGCCAGGGGGCCACCGTCGAGGAACCACCTCCCAGCGGCTGTGGGCTCAGCTGCTGACAAGCCAGTGCCCCAGGGTCCGGGGAAAAGTGGCCGGAGGGCTTCGGGGGTGGGGGGGGGAGGTGCCCCACCAGCTCTGGCCCTCGGTCAGCCTCCCTCACCACTCACAAGCCCACCCTTCCCCCTGCCCTCCCTTCCTCTGTCCTATCCTCTACCTGCCCTTCCCCCTTCTCCCCGGCCCCTCCACAACTCCTGAATCCCTTGGTTTCTCCCGGGATCCCTCCTTTTCTAGTCACCCCACATGTCACAGAGAACGTCAGCTCACCTTGATGGGGAAACTGAGGCACGGAGAAATGTCCCCTGCCAAAGCTACTAAGAGTCCCTAGATGCCTCTCGGGGGCCATAAACACGGGTCAAGGGGCTGTGGGATGCTCCCCTTAAATGTCCCAGTCCCAAGGGGTCAGCAGCCCTCCCTCGGCTAACAAGCTATCCAAAGACTAAGGAAAGAAAACATCAGGAGATAAACACAGAGGTCGCAAGAGCCACCCACTCAGACCATTAAATAGAGTCCAGAGTCCCTCGGTGGGCGAGTTGCCTCACATTCTTCCTCCTTCTCCCTCTTTCTCGGTTTTCCTCCCTTTCCAGCCCCTTCCTCCTGCTCTGCCCTGAATCTTTTGGTTCTTCCTTCCTGGGAGGAAGCGGGCTGCTTTGCAGCAGGTGGGGCAGGAAGCTACTAGATCTCAGGAAGGAGTAATGAAGGACCTGGGTCCTCACTTCAGGCAGGGATCTGACCGCAGCCCCCAGGGGGCGCCTCCCACCCCCAGGGGTCTGACAGGCTGAGCATTTTTGGAAGTCTTTGCAGGGGCCGGGACAATGGGGCCCTTTCTCTCCCTGTGCAGGAGACAGGCCTACAGACAGGGCCTCGGGGCTGGGACAAAGGCCCCAGTGAGGTCAGGGCACTGTGTAGGAGTTGGGGGGTGGGGAGGTGGGGACCGGGGGAGGAATGGGGAGGTGGGGTGAGGGTCAGAGCAGTCTGGGGGGTTGCTGGGGACCACGGTCATTGGAGGGCCTCTGGAAGGGCCATCTCAGCGGCCTTCAGGCCCCTCTGCGACCAATGGCCAAGCACCTAAGGCTGGACCTCCCTTCTCTACTCTTGCCATACGCTCTGACCTCATCCCAAGAGAACAGGAGACCCTGAGGCGGACCCCACATTAGACATGCGGGAAAGAGGCCGAGTTGAGCCACACATCCAGGGGTTTGACAGGGTGGGCACGTGGTCTGTGCTGTGCCCTGGAAGGTGTCCCCTGCTCGGGGCTCTTCCCAGATGAGGTGCCAAAACCCCCTCCCCAGCCATCTCTCTCTCTCTCTCTCTCTCTCTCTCTCTCTCTCTCACACACACACACACACACACACACACACACGGGTCAGCACTGGATTCTATTCAGGGTGCTGAGTCATCCCTGGACCGGCTCCCCCTTCTCCAGGAAGCCCAACAAAGCAGGACAAGGCTTCCGTTTCCGGCCGCCTTGCCGAAGCAGCCAGCAGGTGTCCGGGAGGGGGAAAGGATTCGAGTTCCAGCTCTGTGTCCACCTCTGGAACTGCCCTCCTGCACAGGTCGGACGGTGGCCCCCAGCCTGTCGCCGTGGGGGAGATCCAGTGAGGAAGTGTCAGCCGAAGGGCTGGGAAACCCAAGCCCCCTCCGGCTCGCCCCCAGGAACCCTCTGGGAAAGCCAGCTGGCCATCCGTCACCGTGAGGATGTTTCCCAGAGAGCCCCCCTTAGGAGCCCAAGGACAGACGCTGCCCCCCCTTCAGCCTCCTTTTTCCTCTTCAGGCCCTACCTTCAAAGACCCATCTGGTCTCCCTCAACTCACAAATCCAACTAACGCCTGACATCCGAACAGCGCACGCGCGGACTAGGCAATCACAGGCAATCCAAGCACAGAATAAAAGGGGGTCTGCTCTGGCCTCAGGATCATTTTCCTCTCTGCGGCTCGCGGAGAAACAGCCCCATTCGCGAGCCTTGGGAGGCTGGGTCGCGTGGGGAGGGCAGGGGGAGGGCAGAGGGAGGGGCAGGTGAGCCCTGCGGGAGGAGAGGGGTCCTGGTGGTCGGTGGGTCTGGGAGGTCGTGCTGGATTCCCAGACACAGCTGGTCTGGGGGTCTCCGTGCACGGTGGGCAGCATGGCGGGGAGAAGCCCCCAGCTCCTCCCAACAAGCACCTGTCCTGCGGGCCTCGCTATCTCTGGGTCTTTCTATGCGGCTCGCAGCCTCTGTGATTTGCCCCCTGTCTCTGACTTGTATCAGGTTTTCCCGACTTGCAGGGAAGGACGAATCGCCCATGTGGGCGAAGGCGGTTAAGAGCCGGCACAAGCAGAAATGTGAACACCTGGCAGCGTGTGCATGTGCGCGACTGCGCCAGGGCGAGGGCCGGGACCCGCGGCAGGAGTTACCCCGTCCGGAAGGCACACGACCACGAGGCCCAGTAAGGCACAATCCTGTACACGCACACTCGCGGCCGCTCGTTCTCTCCAGTTCTGAGTGACCTCACCATCTCAACCTCCGATGACTCACAGCCCCCGGGGTCAGCGCGGCACGGCCGGAAGTCACCCTCCGCCCGGCAGCCCGCTACCCGCTTCCCCGCCCGACGGCTGCGAACCAGAGGTCGCGGCGCCCCCTGGCGGTCCCCCGGGACTCTTGCGACTCCCGGCGCCGGGCCCGGCGCACGCACGCGCACACGGCACCCTCAGGCCGACGTGCCTGAGTTCACAGCGCCCTCTGCCGGGCACGGCCTGGGAGACCTACCAGGTCACTCCTTGAGCCCAAGGCCACCGCAGGGCTGGGGACCCCTCCTCTGCTTCTCCCTTCCCGCCTCTCTTCTTCCTCTGCTGGAAGCAAGCCCCCCTGCTGTCTAACCCCCCCCCCCCCCCCCCCCCCGGTTCCCCCCCCCCCCCCCCCCGTGGAAGCCTCGGAACTGGGACACCAAAGCAGCTGGGTCTCTGCTTTCTCCATGGCCCTCGGTCTCTCTCCCTCCCCAGACTGAGCTCGTCTAGGTCGGCTGGACCCGCACTCTGAGCACTCCAGCTCCTTCCGGACACGCTCCCACTCCCCCGATCCCCGTGAGCTCCCAGGTATTCTGTGCCAGGCACTGTTTTATCCACTGGCATCTTGGGGACCGCTCTGACCTCCGGAAGTTAAACACAGAAGGGCTGTTTATCCTGGGAAGTCCAGCCCCACCCCACTTTCCTTTTTCTCTCTCTCACACAGAAACATCAACCTTGCTTGTGCTGAAATGCAGCTTTATTTCCTGCTGGTTTGGCAGGTACCCCATCCTGCAAGCCCAGTCCCCTGGGAAGCCCGACGGTGGGCAACGTGCCCCCCCCCCCCAGGGGATGGCAAGGAGAGGGGCAGCTGAGGCACTTAGGGGCCTTCCCCGAGGCCCTGAGGGGAGAACCTGAGCCAAGGCAGGGGGGAGAGGGTCTAGTCTAGGCTGGAGCCGCCCAGGTGCTTCCCACAAACCCCTTGAGGCACTGCCGCCTGGAGGGCAGCTGCACCCTCCCAAGTGGTCAACCGGTGATGGGGAGAGGGCAGTGCCGGGTAAGGCCTTGCTCCCTAGGGGCCTGGAGAGGGACTGGAAGGAGGGGCCAAAAGGTCCTTCCAGCGTCCCAGTAGCCTCCCCTGATGTCCTGGGGCCTTCGCCAGGTGCAGAGCTCGAGCCTGGGAAAGACACACACACTCACGCTCTCCCCTGGGCCCCTCCTCCTCGTCTCTTCTCAGAGCCTGCGCCCCGGGTGTTACTGCTCCCTGAGCCCCGGTTAAAGCACTGGTCTTGGCTCGGCCACTGTTCTCAGACATCGGCGCTGAAAGGGACCCCAGGGCATCCAGCCCAGCTCCTCTTCTTTGCCTCACAGACGGGCAGTGATTACTCCAAGGTCACACAGCCAGTGACCGGCAGAGCTAGGACTAGAGCCCAGGGCTGCTGTTGCCTAGTGCCCCCCACCTGCCTCCCCCTGGCACTCACGGGCCTGCGGGGCACACAGGAGATCTGGGGGGGCTCCCAGCGGCCATCCTCCTGGCAGCGGATCAGTGGCTGGTTGCGCTGGGTCAGCCCCTCGCGGCACCGGTAACGAAGCACGGTGTCGACTTCATAGCGCCGTCGTGGGCGGCCAAACACTTGAGCCAGGGGCAGCTCTGGCGGAGGCCCACAGGACACTGCAGGGGGGACACAGTCAAGATCTGGGAGCCCGGCTCTGCGGGTGACAGCTCCCAGAGTCGGCAGGAGGAGGAGGAGGGGGTGGGCCACAGGGTGATGCAAAAAAGAGCAGAGATTCCTGGTGGACCACCTCGTTTGTTAGACGTCCCCTTGCCTATGGCCTGGGACACGTTGCTGACTCCTCTGTAGCTTTGCCCCCTCCTTTTAACTTTGAGTTGATTTGTGTATTTATTTAGAGAGTGCAGGGGAGGGGCAGAAAGAGAGGGAGAGAGAGAATCCCAAGCAGGTTCCCCCACTGTCAGCTTGGAGCCCCCTGCGGGGCTGGAACTCACCAACCCTGAGATCCTGACCTGAGCGGAAATTAAGAGTCAGTGGCCTGTCCAACGACTGAGCCACCCAGGCGCGCCGCCCCCTCCTTCTATACACCCAGCAGCCACGGATCCCCCTGGCGCCCCCTCCTCCCCCTTGCCCGGCCTCACCCAGACCCATCTTGCAGGTGTAGGACAGGTGGTAGTTGCAGGGCACATCACTCCATTGTCCCTGATCGTGCCACACCATGACCACGCAGTTCTCCCCGGACAGGAAGTAGCTGTCAGGCTGCCCAGGGTTCCAGTTCTCATAGAGCTGGGGGGACGGGGTGGGGGAGGCCGTGAGGACTCCGGCAGGCACCGCAGCGAGGGGAGGGGCGGGGGGAGGGATGGACCTAGAGGGCCTGAGCAGGAGAAGGGGGGGGGGGTGCGGGGAGCCCTAGGAGAGAGGAGACAGGGGGATGGGGGTAGGGGTCCAGGAGGAGAAAGGACAGGTCGCGGGCTTTGGCGGGGAGGGGTAATGAGAGCCAGACTGGAAGAGAGAGAAGCGCACGGAAGGGAGGCGGGGCCCGGGGAGAAGAGCGGAGAAAGGGCCAGAAAAAGGAGGGGGGGAGGGATGGGGTCACTGGAGGTGGAGGGCAGAAGTGCTTGGAAGAAGCGACCGAGCCAGCTAGAGGGGCGGCCGGAGCCTCTCACCAGAGGGACGCCATCTGACCACAGGAAGTCGCCTTCGATGGTCCGGTCGTTGAGCCCGATCCACTGGTACTCGCGGTATCGACCTGCGGAGGAAGCGCGGGCGGACGAAGGTGCGCAGTGAGCCCCGCTGCCAGCAGGTGGCGCCGCTCCCCGTTACCGGCGGCCCGCGCGCGCGAGTCCTTCCCGCCAGACCCACCCCGCGCTTCCCTGCTTTCCCATCGGCCCATCTGCCCGCGGACGGGTAGAAGGCAGGGGAGGGAGGAGGGGTTGGGGAGAAGAGAAGTGTCACCAGGGCCAGGAAGGGGAAACTCTGGGGAAAGAGCAGAGGCTTTCATTGAGGTCAGAGTCGGGACCCGCAGAAGGAGGCGGGGGGGGGGGGGCGCGGGGGGGGGGGGGGGGGTGCAGTCTGGCCGATGCAGGTGTACTCCCCGCGCCAACCCCAGCCCTCTCGGCCTGAAGCCCCCCTACCCACGTGTGGAGGGAGCGAGGACAGAAAAGGGAATGAATGAATGGATGGATGGATGAAGTAAACCAAGTAATGGGTACCTGAGTTAATGAGTAAGGGAGTTAATTAATTAACACACTCACGCATGATTCATGATGAGTTAATGGGTGAGTGCGAGAGAGCAGGTGACGAGGGTCCCCTCCAGCCCCGTCCCCAGCCCACTATTGATGAAGTTCTGCTCCTCGGGCGTGCTGATGCTGGCTAGGTGCGCGCCGTACATCCGGCACTGGGTCTCGGCCTCCTCCCAGCTCCTCCGGGTAGAAAAGTGCTTGTAGCAGGCGCCCTGGAAGGCGTCCCAGCCCGGACTGCAGAAGCGTAGGCCTGGGGCGCAGAAGGGTGGGCAACTGAGGCCAGGAGGGCCAGGTCCCCTGGAGGGGACTTGAGGGGGCGGGCGGGACTAAGGTGCCAAGGAGCCAGGAGGGCATGAGGGGAGAGGGGGAGCCAGGAGGGGGGCCCTGTGCAGGGGGCCTTGATGGCTTCCTCCTCTGGGCCACAGGGACTGCCAGGGTGAGGGCTGCGGCCCCAGCCTGGGTCCCCCCAGTCCTCCACCCCAGAGGAGGGCCGCGCCCTCCTCTCTTCCCAGGAGAGAACTGGCAGGAAACCGAGCACCCCTCCCACAGGGGCCGCTCCAGAAAGGCATTTCTGGTCCACTTGACAGATGAGGACATTGGCAGGGCTCGGAGAGGTTGTGTGATTTGCCTAAAGTGAAGATTCAGGACAAGGCCCGTGCCCTCCCTCCCGGCTCCAGAGCGAGCACATTGTGGCAGGGGCCAGGCTCCAGATCCGCCCCCACCCCTGCCGCTCACCACACTCACCGACATCACACAGGTCCCCCCCATAGCCAGGCAAACACAGGCAGCGGACCCCCTCCTCCTCCTCCAAGCATGTCCCACCATTGTGGCAGGGGCTGGGGACACAGTCACCTGAGAGGGGAGAGAAGTGAGGTGGGCGGAGCAGGGGAGCACAACTCTGCAGCCTGAGCCCCCCAGGAGAGGGTTCGGCACGTCCACGGCCCCAACCCCCTTGTCCTGAGAGCTATCACAGCATCTTGAAGTCAGCCCAGCCCTCAGTTCCGGTGTCTCTCCCACCCTGACCCCCCTCACCACCTGCCACTTCGGGGTCGACTCAGCCCCGTGCTGGCCATTGCGGTGCCCCCTGGCGCGGGCCCAGTCTAACAGGGGCTGGGCGAAAGCGGCCAGAAAGGCCCTCAGGACCCAACCCCACCGAAGGGAAAGAGGCTGGGCTGTCAGTCGTGAGACCCGGACTCTTATCTGGCTCCTGGCTCTGCCGAGTGACATTGGACAGGTCACTCTTCCTCTCTGGGCCTGGAGCTTGGTTCCCCACCGCCTTGTCTTTGTGCCGGGTCCCTGCACAGTTTTGTGTGGTTTCGGTGGGGGCTGGATGAAGCGGGAGGAGAGGAGAATCGCCTCAGCAACAGTGAGGGGTGGCCTGCCCTTGACTGCTTCTGGGACCCGATATTGGGGTGGGGGTGGGGGGCTAGCTCTCCCTCTTACTCTCTGGGTAGAGTCAACAATCCCAGAAGCTGATAGTGAAGAACCAGTCCCCTCCCCAGGCCCCCTCTGCAGGCCAGTCAGCCTACCCCCCTCCCCAATCCATCTCTCTCCCTTCTTCTGACACTCCTCCAGGCAGTCCTCTTAGACTGACACGCTGCCCTGAAGGCCTGCAATCTGTTGTCTGGCTGGGTCTCCTGCCTTCTCCTCAGGACTCTCTCCCTCTGGGTCCTGGGGTGGGAGGCGGCTGCCCTAGACCAGGCGTGGGTGCTGGACGGGGCAGATTCCACTCCTTCTGGTCCAGGAAGAGGAAGATGGCCCCACAGACTGACAGTGCAGGGCTGGGCTCTCAGCTTGGGAGGTAAAACCACCCCTGGGCGGGACTCTTCAGACCACGCCATACCCCCGGCAGCCAAGGGCGAGGCCCACTGTGCTTCCCTCCGCCTGGTGGGGGTGAGAGCAGAGGTAGGGGGAGGAGACGCTGGAGTCGATTCCAAGAATTTTGCTGGGATGACCTCGCTGTTTGGGGTGAAATGAATCAGCTGTTCCAGCACCACCACCCTGTCACCTCTCCTCCTGCCAACCGTTTCTTCCAGGCTGGTAGCACCAGCTCCCTGGGCAAAGGGGGAGGGGAGGTGTTTTATTTAGCACCAGGCCCCGCGGAGGGCAGGAGTCCTGCAGCCCCTTCTGTTCCTCACCTCTTGCCTGCACCTCTGCGTTCAGCCAGCCAGCCCTGGGGAACAGAGACTTCTACACTCGGTCCCTGGTTGTCCACCCCAGGCCAGAGGTCCCTCCCCTGAACCAGGACCGACAGCGTGGGGGCAAAGGAACTCCTCTTGAAGGAACTTTCTACTCTTCCTTCCTCCCCCTTCTTGGGGCCAACTGCTACACACAACCACAGAGTTCTTCACTCCTGCTGTAACAGCAGGGCCAGAGGACATCCCTCACCCAACAGGTGGGGTAACTAAGGTCCTGCAGAGACTTCCACTGATGCTTCTCTTCCCACCAGACCCCCTCCTAACCCACACGGCACTGAACTCCAAGGCCAGCTGGGCAGGGAGCCAATAGTTGAAATAGGGGAGCCTGGGTGTGATGCAGGGGCCCCTAGCCAGCCCTGGACCATGCAGGAAGGGCTGTCGGTCCTGGGACTGGGCGGATCCCAGGCGTCTCCAGGGATCCCCACTGGGAAGCTCAGCCTTCCCTGAATGGGTAGGGCGGCTCTCAGACCCCAGAATCTAACTCCCCACTCCTCCCCCCACCTCTACGTTCCTTCTTCCTCGCCTCCTGATTTGTGTCTTCGCCAGCATTAGGGACTTGGAGATCCTTTGGTTCAGGGAGGGTGAGACCATTCTTCCTAAGGGTAAGGTGAGCTTTAGTGCAGGGGTTAGTGAAGAAGGGGGAGGCTGTGGGCAGGGGGATGCTTGTTAGATGCCGTCCCCCTGCTGAGTTGTGCCGACGGGGGGCTGGGGTGCCTGGATGCCAGTTTGGGCCTCTGTGCTGAGATGGACTTTCTCTATCACGAGTCTGTATGTGTGGCTCTAGATGGCAGCCATCGAGATGGATCAGAAATGAATACAAGCACGTGTGTGTGTGTGCGCGCGCGTGTGCGCATGCACGCACACACCCCCACCCCCCCACCCCCCCACATTCAGGCTGGTGGGGATCCCCATCAGGAGTGAGGGACAACCCATAGACCGATGGACAGCGACTTCAGCTTTGGACTCTCAGCAGCCAGGAAGAAAGGCAGAGGAGAGCTAAGGGGAGCACGAGGGAACAGGGAGAGATGTTAGACAGGAGGGCAGGAAAGGGCGCTGGCTGAGGATGAAAAGGAGGAGGCAGAGAGGCATGGAGAGCAAGGGACACGGGCGAGCGAGGGAGAGACATAGCACAAAGGGAAGCATCAGAGAGCTGCCTCCAACACAAATCCAGGGAATGAAAAGGGCAGACAGCTGGGGTGCAGACAGAGGGTGCCAGAGTTTTGGTTATAAAGTGGTTTAATAGAGATTTATTTCCAAGGCTTGTTTTCCATGAAACAGTCGAAAAATACTTCACAGAAGTAGTCGCTTAAGGCTCTGTGGGGGTAAGGGCTCTCCTAGACCCCAGCAGCTGACCCCAGGCCTCCCTGACATCAGTGGGGTGTCTGAAGGGGAGGGAAGGGGGCAGTAGGGGAGGGGCCTGAGCCCCGAAGAGTAGAATAGGGACCCAGGAACCCCTATCACAAGAGGAAGGAGGGTGCTCTGTGGGGCCAGTAAGTCACCAGTGGAAAGCCAAGGGCAGGAAGGAGTCCCGGGTGGTCAGTGGTGGGGCTGGAGTCACGGGGTAGGGCCATGGCACTGGGGGTCGTGAGGTGAGAAATCAGAGAGCTGGTGTCCAAGGTTGGAAACCCACAGGCAGAGGTGTACAGGAGAATGAAGACGAAGGACAGGAGAGGCCGGGGCAATGGCGGTTAAAGGATCATGGGTCATGTGACCCAGAGCTTCAGGGGGAGAAAGGGGAGGAGGAGGAAGAGGGAGGTTGAGCCTTGGGCGAAGTTACCTGATGAGGGGGCCACGGCCACTCCACCTTGGCTGGCGCTGTCAGTGGGCAGCACTGGCTGAACCCGCACTGAGGTCCCTGCTGGGACAGTTCTTCCAGTATTCTCTTCAGAGGGGGCCTCCAGTTCCCTGGCACCCTCAGGGGCCCGTGTGGCTGGAAACAGGGCAGGGGTATCCTCAGAGCTCCCTGTCTCCTCACTCTCTCCTCGAGGGACCCCAGACAGCTCAGGACCCCCGGCCTCCTCCCCCACCTCTCTCTCCCCAACCGGAGTGGGAGGTGGTGGGTAGGCCACTTTCCCATTCGTGGGAGTGGGCAGAGTCGCAGTGGGTGGCCCAAGGACCCTTGGAGGCCTGGGAGCCTCTGGCTCTCCATCGGGAGGTGGTGAGGCACCAGGCTGTAGGACTGGCCTCGCTGGTGGTGGGGAGGCATGCAAGAGTGACTCCTCTGGGGTTGGCTCAGTGGGGAGAGAGGCCTCTGGGTCTGGGCTGCTGAGCTCGCTGGGCCAGGCCCACAGGGCCTCCTCCTCTGCCTCCTCCTCTTCCTCCTCTTCATCTTCTTCCTCCAAAGCCTTGCCTTCCTCTTCTGAGGACCCCAGGGGAGGGACGATGGATTGGCTTTCGAATTCTAGACAAAGCATAGGTGGTTCAGCACCAGGGACAGCACCGGCCGAACGGAAGACGGAAACTGAGGGGAAGAAAGGCGGGGCTGGGGAGGGGGAATGGGAAGGGAGGCCCGCAGCGGGTGGGGGGGAGGGGGGAGGCCAGGAGGAGGCTGCCTCTGCTGCCACCAGAAGACCTTCAACTTGAGCTGAACTGTCATTAGCCCGGCACAAAAACATCGTCACCGTGTCTCCCTCTCCTTGTCTTAAAATTCTCTAGTCTATTTTGGGTAGGCAAGGAGGAGGAGGGAACAAAGGAGGGAGCACCCTGCTTCCCAGACCCAGAGAGTTTGGAGTAGAATGTGCCGGAAAGGCAAGGGGTGGGAGCGTACTGGAGAGATGCCCTGCATCACCGAGATGCTGAGAAGGGTCAGGGCCGTCAGGAGGCCGTAAGCCCAGGACAGGCGGCTTCACCCCCGCTTCTCTTACTAAGGGACTCCAGTTACCGAGGAGGGTCCTAGGGGCCTCCGCCGGGTCTTCTGGAGGGGACCTTGCACCTCCCCCATCCTCCACAATGGGGACGGAGTAGATGGCTCCCCGGGACTCGCTCTCCACAGCTTCCCGCGGCAGCTGGAGCTCCTCTAGGGTCTCTGTCACTGTGACAATGGCCTCCAGCCCGTCAGAGGCTGGGTCAGAGGCCTCAGGCGTGGTGGAGGGCTGGCCAGAGTCTGTGAAGAGGAAAGTGTCAGTGGGAGGTTAACCAGGTGGCTTTGCACCCAGTCACAGCCTGAACTCGAGGGCTCTGGGTTAGACTCAGAGACCACGAAATTCTCCCAGTTCTCACTCATCTTTCCTGTGGAGGACCCATGAAGACCCAGGAAGCACTGCAGGACTTTATCACTTGTTCCTCAGGCATTAATCAAGTGCCCACTCTGTGCCATGCCAAGCATTCTTCTGGGCACTGAGGATACAGTAGAGAAAAAAGCACCAAGCCTCCTGCCCTAAGGGAGTTTATAACTTAGCTACGTAATAAACAAACACACATATAACGTTACCATATAAAGAACACTTGGGTAGAATAAGGAAACAGAACGGTGGGAAGTACTACTTTAGATACAGTGGTCAGGAAAGGCTCAGGGGAGAGAGATTCCCTTGAGAAAGGACACGGAGGCAGAAGGAAGGACAGGTGGCCTCAGGACCTTGGGACACCTTGGGAGCAAGGTGTGAGGGCTCCCAGGGCTCCTGAGACTTTTGAAATGGAAGGGGCCAGGGGGCATCGCCCAGGAGAGCTGATGGCTGGAGTGCAGGAAGGACATTCAACAGTCACCACCCGAGGGTCTCAGCATCGGGGCAAGAGGGCAAAGGAAGTGGTCTCCCCATCCTTCCAAAAGCTGCTCCCTTCCAACAACAGGAGCTTTCGAATGGATTACCTCGTCTTTGGAGAAGAGAGCCAAGATCAGAAAACCAATGAAGCGGCCGCGGAACTGGGCTAAGAAAAGCCCCGAGGGCTGTCTGTGCTTAGCCAGACGTGCAAGCACAGCACGTCCTGCCCCTCCCCTCCCCGCGTCACCTGCTCCAGTGAGCCTCGCTCATGCCAGACAAGCAAACCTGTGTCCTTGCCTGCCTCTGTCCTCCACCTGTTCCCAACCTCTCCATCCAGCCCCTCTTTCTGTGGCTTCCTGGAACAGTGCTTGGCGCGTGATCAGTGTATAGACATGTTCATAATTACTATAATCATCATCATCCGCCTTTCGGTTGGCCTTTCCACAGGGACCTGCCTTCCTCTAGACTCCACTTCCCCACCGCTCCCTAGCCCCAGGCTGAAGATACTTGGAGATCTGTCCAATAGAAGTAATGCTTTTCTCTTAGTCTCTCTTCGTGCTGGGAGCAAGGCGTGTTGTCCTCCCTCAGACTGGGGGCTCCCAGGGCAGAAGCAGGCCTTCTCCCTTCAGAGTCGGAGCTCCCTGAAGGGAGAGGCTGTGTATCCTCCCTTCATTTTTGCCTCCGGCCCTTGTCGCAGTCCTGCGGGCTCACACTTCAGGCCAGGACCCACGCACCCCATGGCACTGCCTCCCTGATTGTCAGTCACTGGGGGTGCCTCTGGGGGTCCCAGGCACTGCCTTCCCTTCAGCCCCCAATATAAGATGTGATCAGGAAGCCATCTCTGCCCCCCAACTGTCCTTGAGGACCTGCTCCCTGTGGGGGGGAATTGTGTCTGTCCGTCAATACTCAGTGGTTACAGATCTGACACCCTCAAGCTGAAGGTTCTGGAACTCCCCCCCCACCCCCACCCCGTGAGGGCTCTTGAGGGCATCAGGTTAACTGGAACAGACCATTCGTTGGATTCAGAGAATGTCCATCATCTCTCTCCACTCATGCGCTGACCAGAAAAGGAAACCTATCCAGCTGCGCGGTAGGGAAGAGGCAGCTTTGACCCTGGAGAGACAGGCGCTCCCCGGGGCCACACAACCCAAGCCAGAGGGCACAACCAGAATGAGGACCCTCGGTGCCCAGCCTCCTCCAGGCGAGCGGCAAAGACCTGAGCAAACCCGGACAGAGCTGGGTGGGACCAGGGGGCTCAAGGCTGTCTGACCCACAGAGAGAGGGTGGGCGTGGCGTCTGCAGGGGGGCTGGCTCACCTCGGAAGCAGTAGACGTTGAAGCGGCTGTACTTGTTGGGGAAGCCGGTCTGGTTGGGGAAGAGGAAGAGAGTCTTGACGCCAGGCAGGCCCCCACCGCAGCGCTGGCTGGGCGTGACGATGGGGTAGCGCACGCTGCCATCGGCCAGCCAGCCGGGGCTGCAGCGGTCCAGGCCGCCATCCCAGGCTGCATACAGCTGGCCCGTGGTAGCGATCTCTGCACCCCGCTCGCGGCAGTATGCCCGTGCCTCCTCCAGCGTCAGCTTGTCTGGAGGGGCGCCCAGGAACAGCTCTCCTGGTAGGGAAGAGGGGGCCGGGTCACCAGGAAGTTGGGAGCCCCTTTGACCCTGGGCTCCCGCAGAGACCCTGGGCGGGCTTCTCTGGGCCTCAGTCTCCTCATCTGTGACATGGAGTCAAACGTCCTATTTCAAGGTCAAAGTTCGGGTAGGGCCTCAGCAGAGATGTTATTACTCAGAGGAGCCCGGCTCGACGTCCTCATTCCGCAAAGAAGGTAAGCGAGGCCCAGAGATGCTAAGAGGCAGAGACATACACAGCGGGTGGCTGCAGAGTCAAACTCAAACTCAGTCTCGTCCCACCTGGCGGAGGCCTCGGCCATGGACTTGCGTCCATGACTGTGTTTGGCGGGAGGGACACCGGTTGTTTCTTTGGAAACAACCCCCCTGGATGCCCGAGTGAACACACGAGGGACGACGGGTCCAGCACAGGCCCCTGAAGGACCTACAGGCAGCACCGGAGAACGGGCTCAGGCCTGGGAACGCCTCACCCCCAATCACCATTTAGGTCTTCAGCGTAGCAGTAGACATCATAGAGGTCATCCGGGTCCACCACGCCATAGTTCCGGACCCCAGGGAAGCCATCCATGTCTCCATAACAGGCCTCCCGTGGGGTCTGGATGGGATACCTGGGAGCGAGTACAGACGCCTTCACCAGGGAGCCATCCAGGGATGCCCCCCCCCCGAACCACACTGCCCTCAAGGTAGCCAGCTGTCTTCCCAGTTCTGCAGGGACACCCCCCAGGGCAGGGTCCTCACCTCCCTCCTTCCCAGGAGGCAGGGAGCGCCGCCGTGCGGCTGGCCCGAGGCAGTGGGCAGCCCCCCCGCAGAGACCGGGCCACCCGCCACCCCAGACACAACTAGAAGCCCCTGGTCCACAGCCCCAGCCCACCTCACGGTCTGGTCGGACAGCCAGCCAGCATCGCACTGCTCATAGCCCCCGAGGTAGGCGGCGTAGAGCTGCTCTGGGGTGGCGATGCGGGCTCCGATGCGGGCACAGGCCTCCTGGGCCCGGGCGAAGGAGAAAGCGTAGCGGGCAGAGCCCTCCCGGTAGAGAAAGACGACCCCTGAGGGGCAGACAGGAGCCGTGAGGCGTGGGTCACCCCCACACTGGCCTCCCCTCGCCCTCCTTGCCACTCCCCTGGACACAAGGGGGGAAGTCCACATCGTGCTCACTCTACAGCACGAGGGGCTTAAGTTAGACTGGGCAGGATTTCCTCCACCTGAAGACAGAAAGGAGGTGACAGGGGCCTGTGTCTACGCACTCCTTTTCCAGCTCAGTCTGTGCCTTCCACGTGTGTTTGCTTCCCCCTCAGACTGTGGGCTGGGGGGGCGGGGGTGCGGTCCTGCCCTCCCCTCCCCCCAGGAACCTCCCTCCGTCCTGCCCCCTCACCTTTGACCTTGACCTCCACGGCGTCGCTGCTGTCGTCTATGCCGTGCTGGACCTCGCAGCGGTAGATGCCAGAGTCGTTGGGCCGCAGCTCGCCCAGCGCCAGGGAGACGTCGGTGAGTGACGCCGGGTAGGCGGGCAGCGCCACGCGGAACCGGTAGGCCTCGCTCACCTTGACGCGCAGCCCCCGCGCCACCAGCACCTCGGCCTCCCGGCCCCCGGACAGGAAGGTCCACTTGACCCGCGGGGAGCCCAGCACGGCCCGGCGGCCCGGCGGCGGCCGCAGGTAGTGAACGTGGCACGGGATGGTGAGGGCGCCGCCCAGCACGCCCTGCAGCGGCGCGTCGCCCGAGATGCGCACGCGGAAGGCCCGGTCCTCTGCGGGTGGGCGGGCGGGGCCGGCTGGGACTCAGCGCCTGGGTCCGAAGGGTCCCCCCGCCCAGGTTTCCATGCGTCCCCCCCACCCCCACCCCCAGAGTCCTGCATCGCCACCCCGCACCCTCTCCAGATCTGTCCCAAAGTCTCCGGGTCGGCTCCGCCCCCAGAGTGGCCAGCGCCACCCCTCGATTCCCAGGCTGCACCCCAGGCTTTCTAACCTCACCCCCTGGGTCCTCCAGTCCTCAGAGTTTCCCTCAGAGTCACCTGCAGGATTTCTCCCCCTGTCCTGCCTCCCAGCTCTATTCATCCCTCCCGCACCCTAGAGACGGGCAGCCTGGCACTCCTGCCCCTCCCCAGCCCTACCCCCAAGTTCCCCCTCCCCTTCCCAGAGCCCACAGCTCATCCCTTCCTTACCTCCAAGTGTCCCAGGCCAGACCTTTCCCCACAGTGCCCCCCCCCCAATCCTATCTCCTCCCTGGGTCCCCCAAGGCTGGAACGGTTTGGTGGGACGAAAAGCGAGGCCATTCCCTTCCATAGGGGAGATGGAGGAGACAGAGACAGTGACCCTGAGTGGGGTCGCTTACCTGAGCTGTCCCCTTCCAGGGCATCAGCTGAGGCCGTGGGGCCCGGGGCCAGGGCCAGGGCTATCAGCAGGGGCAGGAACAGTGGGGCCATGCTCAGGCTGCTGGAGGGACTTGAGGAGGAGAGATGGGGTTAGACTTCAAGAAGGACTTCCCCCGGCACCCGAGCACGCATATCCTGGCCCAAGAAGCCCAGCGTCCCCACCTCACTGTTAACACCCTCGTTTCTGATCCTGTCTCCCCACCAGGGATTCCTCCTCCGAACCAAGACCTGGGCGCTAGTCAACTTGCTGCAAGTTCCTTAAGCTCTCAGGGTCTTTGTTTTCTTCCTTGTAAAAGAGCAGCATCATAACCACCTCGCAGGGTGTAAGGAGGCTATGTGCTTTCCACCCTAGGACCCCTGTACAGATGCACAGCGGCAGGCATACAGCAGGAGCTCACTAAATGCTCCCAGCAGGAGTGGTGGGTGCTGTTATACTTAACAATTCCCTCTGCTTTTCCCAGTGCCAGACTCCTTCCTCGAGCCCAGAGCCTCCTCCTGCCCCAGCACCCCTCCAACATTCCCTTCCTGGCCCTTCCTCCCTGAGTACCACACCCCCCGGGCCTCTTCCAGGAGGGCCTCCTAGACTGACCCTGGGCATTGCACAACTTCTCTCTAGCCCAACCCCTCCTTGACCTCTCCCTACCCCACCGTTACTTATAAGGAAACTCGTCTCTTTACTCCTAGCACCCTCCACCCCGTCCTTGGCTGCCTTCTCCCTTCTTCTTCCCAGCCTTCCTTTCTGCCTGGCACGGGCTTTCCCACCGGATCCCCTGGCTCAGAAACCAGCTGGGACAAAGCCCCTGTCTCTGCCAGTCTGGCTTCCATCCAGCCTCTCCCTTCCCCCCCGCCCAGTCCCAGGCTGGGGGGTGGGCTAAGGGAGGGTGAGAATAAATGGGAGGGGCCATCTCCCTCTTGCTCTCTTGGCTATCAGACACTGTGAGAACCCGGAATATTCCTCCGAAGATCTCAAAGCATTTACACTCTCATAATGGAGGGAGGGGGAGGGGGGGTGACATTGAGAAATGGAACCCAGAGAGGCAGAGAGGGACGGGGCTGACCCCGAGTCCCCAGCCAGGCCAAGTCAGGTACCAGCCCAATGAGCCTCCAGGAGTGAAGGCTGCAGGGCTAGTGTCCAACGTCACCCTTAAGGGCCGGGCTACACTTAGGAGAGCTTGAAGACCCCGCCATGGGGTAGGTCGACCTGCAGCAGGAGGGATGCAGGTTAGACTCCAGGCAAGACTTCCTACCGATCAGGCTCATTCCCACTCCAGGCCCATTGTTCAGCCTTCATCTTCTGTGCCCTCTCAGGCTCTGCCCTCACGCATGTCTCCCCCTTCCTGAGCCTGAGCTGCTGGGAAATGTCTCCCCCTGATCCCCCCAGGGAATCTCAAAGCCCCCCCACCATCACTGTAACCTCCATTTCTGCCACCACGGTGGGCTTCATTTCCTCACAGTCAGACTTGGGGAAGGAGTGACAGGAGCCAGATGTCCAGGGTCTCTCTCGATGGGGCCAGATCAGAGGACGCGGAGACCAGCTCTGGGCGCGGGAGCACTTGGGAGGACTGCTTTCTGGGGATGAGGGCGGACCGTTTGGCGTGAGCAGCCAGTGCCTGCCGGGTGCTGGGCAGACGGTTCGCCATCCATCTGAATGGGCCAGGCCCTGGGCCAGGCCCCTTCCTGGCGCCTTCCCTCCCCTCTCTCTGGGCTGGAGCCGGAACTGCTCACAGACCGGGTCCCAGCTCTCTGACAGGTGGCCCAGAAACCCATATATCTGGAGCCACTCTGGGACCGGCATCCTGGACCCCCCTCTCACCTCTGTTTTGAAGGTGACGGGACAGAGGGAGAAGGTCTGAGACCGATAAAGACCTGGCCACCCCGGACTATGGAGGTGAGCCCACCCCCACCTCCGGGAACGGGGGTCACTGACCAGAGAGGCCTGGATTCTGTGGTTGTCACAATTGGCGACCTCTGCACTGTCCCCACCCCACTGCCAATCCCCCTCAAGCTTGGGCTTCACCCCATCCTGTGCAGCTAGGAGTCCTGAGAAAACTTAGCTATCCCCTCTTCGGGCGCCAGCCTCGGTGCGGGCATTGGCCTCTGCACCCCCTCTGCTGTCCTCTGTTTCTGTCCCCAAGAGCTCAGCTGTCTTCCTGTCCCTTCCCCTCGTGCCACACCATCCCTCTCTCCAGCTCATTCTTTCCTGCTCCAGCTCTGGGATTTCGGCCCTTGCCTTGAGTTTCCCAAGACCAGCCTGTGTGTGTGTGTGTGTGTGTGTGTGTGTGTGTGTACCCACGGGTACACACGCCCGACACCCACCACCTCCGTGCTGAGTGGTGAGGGGGTGCTGACCCCCCTGCCCCCCGCTAGCAGTCCAAGGTCGGCCCCGTAGGAACTAGGTTCCAGTTCTCAGCGGGGTCAGCAGGAGGGAAGCTCTGAACTGTCCCCTTAGCCACGGTGTGAGCAGCAACCCGAATGCACAACGGCGGCCGGGCGTTCGCAGGCCCCGCGGGACCAGCTAGAGAAGTCACATAAACAGTGAGTGACAAACACTGTTAGGAATATCACTGCCCAACCACCGCAGCTGCTCCTAGTTCAGAATCTGAAAGGTGGATGGTGCTAAGTCAGCCACGAAAACACAGGCGCTGGTAATGCTCCGGGGGGGGGGGGGGGCCGGGGGGGGGGGGGTCCGTGGGTAACAGTGTCCCTTGACCTCACTGCCGTTATCTGGAATAGAAGTCACGCAGATACTAACAGCACTCACAAAACTGATGGCAAATCTCTTGGTCCCACTGGAAGCACGTGGGCAGAGCTATTCCAAGCTGAGAGGGATGTGAAAGGACGGGGGGGGGGGGGGGGGGGGGGGG